TGCAGGAAGAAATGTCTAAAGATTGAGAACATGAATTCTTTCCATTTCGGTAAGTTCCCATTTCAAACTGTAGCATACAGCTACGCATGTTGATAAGTACGATGGGTACCTTTGAGTCGAGCTTTTGAGATGATTTCAATGTGCTTCATTGCAGCTTTCATCACTTTGTCTGCAAACACAGCGGGAACATCCACCTATTCAAAAAAACAAACAAACAACAACAACAACAACAGATGAGTTCACAGATTTTACATTTTGACTAAATATTGAGTTCCAGTTTATCAAACCTAAAGTTAAAGTCTTTATTTGTGATTTTTCACACTTAAATGTAGAAATCAAGTCTATCCTCTGAAAATAACTCTGTGAGTCATGACTGTCTACAATGGGTGTAACACCCGAGTCCCACTGTCTGTGATGTTTTCAGAGTTTTCAGAGTCCTATCTTCACTTTGTTTACATCGCCCGGACGGCCGGCTGACTCCTCCCCTCGTGTATAAAAGTTGTTTAATTGAGGGACTAGAGAAAAGAAGAATAACATACTGTACTCACTGCTTAACTGTGTTTCTAGATCACGCTCATTTCAGGTAAATTTACATGCAGTGTGAAGATACCAGCAGAATAAAGATCGCTAGCATTAGCATGCTAACACAACAATGCAGCGCGAGTTGTTTTGGTTTCATGCTGGTGCTCAAGGGCGACATCTGCTGGATCAAAACATCACATATAAAGCCTTTGAATCTACTAAAAAAAACATCCTGAAGCAGAAGAAGAACCTGAAGGTACGAAACAACAAGCTGTATTTGACTTCATGTAAATTAGAAAGAGAAGCAGGAAAAACCAGAACAGCTGATCTAACAAAACAACAACGTGTTTAAATTCAGAGTTCAGGTTGAACAGCTGAAACAATCAGTGAATGTTGATGAACAATAAACATCTTTGTTAGCTTTCAGTAAAACAACCTGCAGATGATTGATGCTCAAACTGTTTGTTATATCTTTAAAGATGCATCTCCTCTGACAGCTGCAGAGGAGAGTTTGAGCTTCACCTTCTGAGCGCGGCGGACGAGCACGGACGCAAAGAAGCGGAAAGTCATCCTCAGTTCATCCACGCACGCCTCGTCGTCTGTGATGTCCCTGAAAAGAGAAAAGAGACAGAGAGTTAACCACAACGTCTCCCCAAGTGAGTCTGAGCTAAAACAAAAAGAGGTTTCTTTTAAAGTCTCACCTGTACCAGGGGTACACGAAGTTCTCCAGGACTAACTCAAACACCTGCAGCAACAAGAGTGTGAAGTCTTTACATACAGAGAGAGTTTCTATGTTCGGAGTTAAACAAAGGAGAAGTGAAGTCTGTGACGGGTACCTCTGCGACCGATGCGTCCACTTTTGAATGAACTTTCAGGTCCAACCATGGCTGATGGTTTTCTAGGAGAAGTGTCGGCCTGCAGAGAAGAAAAGAGTCAACGAGTGAAGGAACGTTGATCAGGAGATCTTAATATCACTCAGATTTAACGTCCTGATTACATAATGGAGAAAAAACCTGATGATGCTCGCTCATAGACCAACATACATCATTTAGTTAATCTCTTGGTGATGGACGACTAAACAGAATCTACAGATGACTCAGAGAGTGAGGAGACTTGATTTATAATTATTCAATTCTTGTCTCGATCCACCTCTGAAGAATATTAACCTCCTGCATGGACACTGAATGTGTGTCAAGTGTCCGCTCTCATACAGCGTGCGTTATTTCAGTAAGTCAAAGGTTTTCCCTGACTGTTAGTAAAACTTTGAAACTCCACAGGTTCTTCTTGAAGCCTTAACGTTGTTGTTCAAGGTCAAGTAGAACATGCACAGCTCCTACATTTCACCTTTTGTACATTTTGTGTTTTTTATTTTTATATTTTTAAATTATTATATTGTAATATCTTCTTATTCTGTATTATTTAAGTTGTTGCTAGTTCTGCTTTATTTCCTTGTTAATTGTTTAGCACCAATACACCAAGTGTAATTCCTCGTATGTGTAAATGTACTTGGCAATAAACCCAGATTCTGATTCTGATTCTGATTCTGATTCTGATTCTGATGTCGCTGCTGTTGAAGAGAGACAGCACCGCGGTGAAGGCAGCTTCTCAACTCCCCGGATCGCTCTATAAAACAGACATTTAAACTCCATGGGGCTCTGATCAGATATAACTGGACCCCTCGTGGTTCAGGGTTTAATGCAGATGTTTGGGAAAGTTTGTAAATTTCACTCATTTTTACTCAAATCCTCGGTGGAGGAGAGTTGTTGGGATGCTGTGAAAGCTGCAGATATCATCTGCAACATTTGAATATTTAACATCTTCCTTTTGCTCTTCTCAGTTAATACGCATCCAAGAAACATATCCCATTCAGCTTGATATGTTTGACACTGATAATTAGGTTAGTGAGAAAAACTGAAACACAGAAACAACAGAGCAGAATTATGTGAATCAGTTTCACACTTTAACCATGCATCCATTTCCTACCGCTTGTCCGAGGACTCACTCCCGTCTGTGTGTTTATTACATTCAGTGTTTTTTCTGCTCAGAGTAAACTTAAACTCACCGGTGACGTTTGCACTTGACCTTCCCGCACACGGCACAGCTGTGTCCCAGAGGAAACAACTCCTGCTCCTGCCGCTGTGGGATCAAAAACACAGACACCACGTTTTTATTCATCGCTTACATCACCCACTCTGTTAAATATCAAGAGAGCTTTTCTTTCCCAAATGAACACTCGTAAAGGTGCCTCACACAGTATTTTAAACTTTAAAGATAGCACTCAGACTCACTTTGTTCCTGGGCTTCACGCTGAAGAAGATATTTGGGAGAAGAGACTCTGGTCCGAGGGAGCAGTAGAAAGTGATGACGCCAGCCAGGAAGGACCAGAACACCATCAGGATGTGGATATACCTGTGTGGATATTAAAACCTGGTGAGAACTGATGTGTTGCTCTGAGAAAATACCACTCTAGAATAGTGGAAATCGAAGTCAGATTTAAGTATGAACGTCTCTCGATGTGTTTCAGGGGAACCTCCACACAGAGAGACTCCTGAAGGATGGGGATTCAAACCAGGAACCTCCACACAGAGAGACTCCTGAAGGACGGGGATTCAAACCAGGAACCTCCACACAGAGAGACTCCTGAAGGACGGGGATTCAGACCAGGAACCTCCTCACAGAGAGACTCCTGAAGGACGGGGATTCAAACCAGGAACCTCCTCACAGAGAGACTCCTGAAGGACGGGGATTCAGACCAGGAACCTCCTCACAGAGAGACTCCTGAAGGATGGGGATTCAAACCAGGAACCTCCTCACAGAGAGACTCCTGAAGGACGGGGATTCAAACCAGGAACCTCCTCACAGAGAGACTCCTGAAGGACGGGGATTCAAACCAGGAACCTCCTCACAGAGAGACTCCTGAAGGACGGGGATTCAAACCAGGAACCTCCTCACAGAGAGACTCCTGAAGGACGGGGATTCAAACCAGGAACCTCCTCACAGAGAGACTCCTGAAGGACGGGGATCCAAACCAGGAACCTCCTCACAGAGAGACTCCTGAAGGACGGGGATTCAAACCAGGAACCTCCTCACAGAGAGACTCCTGAAGGATGGGGATTCAAACCAGGAACCTCCTCACAGAGAGACTCCTGAAGGACGGGGATTCAGACCAGGAACCTCCTCACAGAGAGACTCCTGACAGACGGGGATTCAAACCAGGAACCTCCTCACAGAGAGGAACAGATCTAACCACTGCAGCAGATAATGGATGGATGTCCTCCAGTGCTTTAACTCGAGTAATAATCTGACTGAGCAACTTTCACTTGTAGAGGAGTACCGTAAAACTTCAAATAAAAGCTCATCCCAATCAAAGACCTGGTCCCTCTTACTGACCTGGTGTCGCTGCACGTTTTGACAACGATGCATTCAGTGTCTAAATAGTTTGTGGAGCAGGACGCCACAAAAACAACTAGGAACTACAACATCTGTCCAAGAAAGACAGAATAATGCTTGTGTGTGTGCAGGATGTGAAACAGGTTTATAAGCTGCTCTACAGAGTAAGATCAAGTGAGTAATTTGTTTATCTTCATTTTTTTCCCTCTACACGCCCACATTCAACCATAAACGGTCAACGCAAAGCACCACGCTGCTGCTGCATTCACCCTGTCCTCCTACAGCGCCAAAACATCCAGCGTATGGTACATATATAACTGTAGAAATACGCTAATAAATGAATAAATACATGTAAAAATATATAAATAGTCTTTTTCATTAATAGAGTGTATTTATTATTTAGTCATTGATGTATTGTTTTCAGCATTTATATATTTATTGATGCATTTATTTAATTTTTTATACATTACTGCATTTCTCCAAACATTTCTTCATTTATTTATACTTCGGTCATTTTTTGTCCCTCAGATACTCGAACAGGAGTATTTACACTGTAACGCACAGTTTTGATCACATGACCCACCAGGTGTTAAAGAGATCATCTGATACCGTGCTCACTGAAGACACACACCTGAGCTGTGTCCTGTAGGTTACCTGTTGAGCAGCACCTGACACACACCTGAGCTGTGTCCTGTAGTTTACCTGTTGAGCAGCACCTGACACACACCTGAGCTGTGTCCTGTAGGTTACCTGTTGAGCAGCACCTGACACACACCTGAGCTGTGTCCTGTAGGTTACCTGTTGAGCAGCACCTGACACACACCTGAGCTGTGTCCTGTAGTTTACCTGTTGAGCAGCACCTGACACACACCTGAGCTGTGTCCTGGAGGTTACCTGTTGAGCAGCACCGTCACAGAGATCACCTGAGCTGTGTCCTGTAGGTTACCTGTTGAGCAGCACCTGACACACACCTGAGCTCTGTCCTGGAGGTTACCTGTTGAGCAGCACCTGACACACACCTGAGCTGTGTCCTGGAGGTTACCTGTTGAGCAGCACCTGACACACACCTGAGCTCTGTCCTGTAGGTTACCTGTTGAGCAGCACCTGACACACACCTGAGCTCTGTCCTGTAGGTTACCTGTTGAGCAGCACCTGACACACACCTGAGCTGTGTCCTGTAGGTTACCTGTTGAGCAGCACCTGACACACACCTGAGCTCTGTCCTGTAGGTTACCTGTTGAGCAGCACCTGACACACACCTGAGCTGTGTCCTGTAGGTTACCTGTTGAGCAGCACCGTCACAGAGATCACCTGAGCTGTGTCCTGTAGTTTACCTGTTGAGCAGCACCGTCACAGAGATCACCTGAGCTGTGTCCTGTAGTTTACCTGTTGAGCAGCACCTGACACACACCTGAGCTCTGTCCTGTAGGTTACCTGTTGAGCAGCACCTGACACACACCTGAGCTGTGTCCTGTAGTTTACCTGTTGAGCAGCACCTGACACACACCTGAGCTGTGTCCTGGAGGTTACCTGTTGAGCAGCACCTGACACACACCTGAGCTCTGTCCTGGAGGTTACCTGTTGAGCAGCACCTGACACACACCTGAGCTGTGTCCTGGAGGTTACCTGTTGAGCAGCACCTGACACACACCTGAGCTGTGTCCTGGAGGTTACCTGTTGAGCAGCACCTGACACACACCTGAGCTGTGTCCTGGAGGTTACCTGTTGAGCAGCACCTGACACACACCTGAGCTGTGTCCTGTAGGTTACCTGTTGAGCAGCACCGTCACGGAGATCATGGACAGCAGCAGGAAGCAGAAAACCGGATACTGACGTCCAGTTTCTCTCAGGACGTCGACCTGCAGCCCCAGCTTCAGAAACCTTAAAATACCTGCCATCCTTCACACCTGTTGACACATGTTAGAGACACCTTTAACCTCTACACACATAAAGAGAGACTCACCTGTTTAAACTGATAACACCTGTAATGTAGCTGCTACACTTTAGCTAGCTAACGTAACCGTTAACGTTCGTTTGTTTTTTAAACTTACGGCGACAAAACCACCGGAAATCCTCTTCATATAAAAACAAACATTGTAGTCTTCGTCTGAAGCTCAGACTAGTCCACACGTTTATAAACAAAGATTAACTTCCAGAGTTCTTCACTCGATGTTTTCATGTGTTTTAAAGTCGCTTCCTTGACAGATGGAATGTTTGCTAATCCAAGCGAGCCGGGGGTTGCCAGATCCGTCAGAGAAACAAGTAATCCACACAAACCGGCGGTTAAAATAGAAGCACGACTTGTACTAATGGTGTTACATTATGTAAATAAAATATCACTCTTTGCTTTGTTTTACATATGCATGTGAAATAAAGAGCAAGATAAGTTTCCTTAGTTTAAAGTTGTGGAAAGTAATGCGTCTGTAATGTGTTAAAAAATGTACTCTTTTTAAAGATTTAAACGCACTTGTGTATTTTTCTCCGCATACATGGCAACCCCGAACCGAACAACGTCACTTCCAGCGGAGCGATCCTTTTTATTTTATTTTGTTATTTTTTTAACCGTCTTTATTGACAAATTTAACATATACAAAAAATGTTTATACAAACTCTTAGAGGATGAACATACAACAGCAAAAACACAGGAACAAGTTAATCCAGATATAAATGAAGACTAGGGGGGATTATATATAAAAATCTAACTTTTCCAAAAGAAAACAAAAGGCAAATGTAAACAGACAACAAACTGGAGCAAAGACAAAACACTTGAACAAGAGCCCAGCAGAGCGATTCTGACTCTGGTGAATTTATGGATTTGATTTGAACGAGATGTAAACTCAGTGACCGCATGTATGTTTGAATTCATGTTTAAATGTGTTTCAGGACCATAAGAAATACTTTTAAATCAAAACCCTAAAATATGATGAGTTATTTTTTAATTGTGGTTTTATTTGTGAGCATGTTTCTGGATATTTCTTCTTTAAAACAAAATATTGATGTCAAAAAGATGGTTCAAAATCAGGACCTTGTGTACATCTTAATAGCTAAAGGGTGAAGTTGACTTGTAAACATGTTTTAGATTTATCAAATGTGAACCAACGAGGGTGTTCTGGTCACAGTACCTGAGAGTTTCACATTTCAATACAATTCTGGTAGATAATATCAAACGATATGGAGACCATAGCAACAGCAATAAAAGTCCTAGTCACCCATTATTTGGTAAGATCTTGAAAAAGAATCTCTGCACACCTGAATGTGTGACAGGTGTGTCGGAGGACGACTCCCTACATCGTGCATTGTCTTTGAAATATTGCAGGAAAAGTCCAACACACGGTCTGGCCAATGCTTTGCTAATTTAAATAAGATATATTAACGTTATATCTGTATTTATAAATGATCGACACAAACCAGCCAGGATCAAAGTCAATAACTTTATTAGAAAAATAGGTTTAACTCACCTCACTGTACAGTATAAAACAATTCATTTGCAAGAATGCAAACACAGGTTAGCAAAACAAAAGAACAATTTGACCTTTAAACTTGACAACGCAACAGAGCCATCGCTGCACAAAGAAAATCAAACGTGTGACATGACGCTGAGTTTCATGAAAAACAAAACAACAAGGCAAAAAGTTAAAAAAACAAACTTCTCTGACACACATGATGTTTAAAAAGAGCTCAAAGGAGAAATCCAAACTGATGCCAGTTATCAGGTCAACAGGTGTTGTTCAGATAGAAGTGATTGTACCCGACCTAAAAAGCCTCTGCATGTTTCTAATAAGCTCCACGAGCAGAAACGTGCTCAAACTAGGATCAATATTGGAGATGCTTTTGAAAAATGGAGAGAGGTTAGAACACAGAAAGGTTTACAGACCCATGCAGAGCTGGATAAACACTGAAGCTTCAGAGTCCACCACATGGTGACCTGAGTGAGCATCCACTCTAGAGAGGAGGGGGGGGAGACAGCTCTCTATGATGCTTAGAATTTAGACTGCAGTACCTATTTTAAACACTAGGGGTCAGAGTTACATACTGCTCCTTTAATAACCAAAAAATGGAAGCATTATTCCTGCACAGGGTCTAAACTTCACAGTTGTTTTCTTTTAGTTTAAATGTGATTAAACATCTGTAGTTCTGTAGAACGAGAGAGAGAGAGAGAGAGAGAGAGAGAGAGAGAGAGAGAGAGAGAGAGAGAGACATTCAGTAAAAGGAGCCACAGGTTGGACTACAACCCGGGCCGCCAGCGCCCTCAAACTAAACACTTTAAAGGGGTTTTCAAAGCTTTTTTTAGCAGGAACCAATGAGCTTTGAGCGACATGACGTGGGGTAGAAATCGATCGGTTTGACTAAAACACGCCGTAAAGATCCTGTAAATCTTTAATCCCGCCTGTTTGCAGTTTGAACATGAGTTTGGATCGACTCCTTTAGAAGTCTTTACACGTTAGCTTCCTGTATTTCATGATCACTGACGGTGAAAAGACGTTTACTGTACATGGTCGACATCGTAGTTTATCATCGTGCTGTTTCTTTAAACCCCCCCCCTCCCCACAACGCCATCTTTGATTCCTACAAAACTTGCTTCCTCTACTTTACAGGAAGTGGAAATAAACAACACGTGTTTACAAAATAAAAGGCAGCTTCACACACGTTAGAGAAACAACACAGACGTTTGTGCAGAGACGTCGTCACATCGACAAAACCAACAAATACAAAAAGAAAAGAAAAACATGACAGCCTTCCTGTCATGGCCGACAGGAAGTTTCCAGGCGTTAAAAAGATTTCACATTTATAAACCAACACATCTGTACACTACATCATCACTCGGTTCATTTATAAAGACAGTAAGGGTCGACGTGTCCACCTGGAGCGAGGAGGGTGTGGCTTACAGGGCACGATCCCTAGGACACCAAAACACGGGGAATATATTTGGAAAAGAGCGCCTTTCAACTCAAAGTGCTCGGAGCAGCGGCTCAAGAGAGGACGCTCTCTACTCAATGAAAAAGAACGCTGGCGCTCAGATACTAAACGGCAGGTGGACACGAGGCCTGAGGCTCATTTCAGGAAGACCAGCGAGCACGTGGACAGTAACTGAAGCCTGATTTATACTTCAGCGCTGAATCTTCAGTGAACGACGTGCTGAAGCGACACGGACAGCTACAGCTGGGATCAAAGCCGGACGCAGCGACAGCGGCCAACAGGCTCGTTTGCCGCTTGCTTTTGTGCGTTGTATCGTCACCTGTTTGGATACCAAAGCAGGAAAAACAGAAGTCGGAGGGATCTGAAAATCCTGCTCACTGTCGCTGCAAGTTTCAGTGAAACACAGAGGTGACGTCTCTGTACTGAAGTGTTGCCAATAAATGTAAATTGCAAATACTTCGGCAACGTTTTCTGCAACTTATGTAGAGTGCATTTCCTCTCTGACGAGCCTTTCCTATTTGATTTTTGTAATTGTGTTTTTGCTAACTCGTATTGCCCTTTTTGATCTCTTTGTTTCTGATGAATGCTTCTTCATGTGATTCCTGTATTTAAGTGTTTTCTGTCTGAAACCCTGTAACTGTGCTGCTGTCTGTCTTCACCAGGACGCTCTTGTAAAAGAGATTTTTTAATCTCAATGAGACTTTTTCCTGGTTAAATAAAAATAAAAGCTACTTTAAGATACTCATTAAAATAAAAAAGGTTGTTTTTTTTCTTCCAGTAAATTAAACTGTTGATTAGCATTAGTCAGCTCAAACATTATACGCTCAGTTAACTCAGAGAGAGAAAGCTGGAGAAGCTGAGCGACTTCACAGAAGAACAAAACGTCAAACATCTGAATGTTTCTCTCTTCACCCGGAGTTTCTCCTGCAGATCTCATATTTATTCAGCTCAAACAGTGAGCTGATGTGAGAACGCATGTGACATGTATGAAAACGTCACCAGCTGATAGCATTTTAGCGGTTAGCGTAGTCATCTTACTTTGACTGTGGAGAGGTTCAGCTTTGATTCAACACAAATATAAATCAGGCTTTGGACTCTTTAAGTGCTCCGTTGTTTGTGAGTCTCTCTGAGGGTGGAGGGGACGGGGGGGGGACGGGGGGAATCAGGAGAGTCCTTCAAACTGAGGTAGTTAACAGACCCTCGTTTGGTTTCCCCGGAGCGCCCGACCTTGAACAGCGGGGGGGCGGTCTTAAAAGCGCCTCCCTTCTCTGGTACAAACAAATCCAGATCATTCAGGAGCAGAATGTAAAGTTAGAAGGAGGACATACTGGCTGGGGGGGGGGGGGGGGGGGGTGATCACACGTCAACACTCGCTCTGATACTCAGACATGATCGAGTCTAGTCCATCATAAGAGCTTTAAAAACACTAAACACTCCAAACCTTAACAAAGTGCAAAGACTTTTCCAAGAAGGACGTCCATCTTGAACTTGAACTCCGGCTCAGTCAAGTCTGAATTAGCATATTTGGGGGGAAAAGGCGGGAGGGGGTTAAAACTTCATAAAGCAAGCTCTTGGTTTGCTCTTTTGATTATCTTGAAATGTGGCTGTTTGAAAGAGTCAAAAAAAAAAAGGAAAAGTGAAAAAGAATATACCATTGGACCCTCTGAGTCAGGTGACCTTACCATCCCGTCCACTGGCGGCCTTGTAGTGTGTGACGCCGAACACGGGGTCACACGGGGTCAGTCTTCATAGCGACACATCAGGACCGGCCTCGACCCCTTTTTCCTGCTAGTCAGGTAACAAAAGGAAGCAGTTAGAGAAATGAAAACAGGATCATGTCACATCTACACACAATCTACTATTGTCAAAACAGTCATCGGAGGAGGAGGAAAGGGCTGTGCAACAACAGGAAGTCTGAGCATTCATTAAGACGGAGCATTCTCTCGGGGGGCTCGCTGCCCCGCCGATCAACATGCAACATGACGATGCCTTAAAGATTGTTTGAGGTGCAGCAGGTGAAACGTGGACAAACAGGCAGAGAGAGAGAGAGAGAGAGAGAGAGAGAGAGAGAGAGAGACGGGAGGTTAAGAGCAGCCGGTTTCATCTACTGAAGCAAACTGAACAGCAACACTACAAGCTAGCATGCTAGCAGTTATCGGGCACATTAGCACGACATCGACCTCCAGAGAGACATGCAAAGATTAGTATCCAGGCCTTCAACAGCTAGATAGATCCTTCTGGGACAAGGAAAGAGCTCCACTTTGGGTAGAGTTATCAAATTGTGCTTTTAACCCCCCCCACAGAGGGAGAGGGGGGGGGGGGAGGGGGCTTAAACTTGCTGCTGCATTGAGAGTGAATTTGGGACACCAATTTGTGAGACATTGATGCGTTTTGAGAGGAAACTCAAAGATGGAGTATGTCACTACACATACAGAGCCACTCGAGATGCCGACTGGAGAAGAAGAACGGTGATTTGGAATTTGATGGCATGCAAAAAGGTGACATTTTTGTAGCACGTTGGCCAACATCGGCAAACCTTTAGTCCATTTTTCTTCCACAAGGAGCCTTTAAAAATTTTGAAGGCAATTTGAAGAGAGAATTTGCCGAAACATGAATTTGCAACACAATTTTAAAGTTTTTTTGTACACGTGTGCGTGTATGTTTATTAAAGCAGACAAACAGCAAAGAATACAAGCCAAAATGTAAAGCCAAAAAATAAGGACTACGACGGTCCTTTTTTTTTTTTTCTTCTTCTCAATAACAAGACACGCATTACTCTGTGACAATACAAATTGTTTTTTTTCATTCGTTTTAAATACATGTTTAGGAGACATATGCTTTGTTGCCGTTAGCTACTTAAAACATGGAAACCAGTCTAAAAACACACAGAAAGCCAAATAGACAGCTCGAGCACATAATTGCATCTAAAATTTTCTTTCAAACTTTTGTTATGGAAAATCTGTTAAACGACCATCTTTTTTTTTCTCTTTTTTTTTTTTTTTAAAACAAAAAAGGGATAAAAAGAAAAAAAAGCAGTTCGCCAGAAACAGGTGGGAGTGTGACTACGGGTTTGAGTCCAAGCGGATTAATTAAAATATGTACAAAAAGATATCTTGCCAGATGTCACCCATATTTTTGGAGGGGGGAAAAAAAACCGTAGGCAACCGTTTTGGGATTGAGGGCCAATCAGATCAAGTCTCTAAATAAAAAAAAAAGACAAAAAAAAAAAAAAAAAACCATAAAACACGTATTTTGTTATCAAATCCCCTACGGGTTTACTTCCACTGTTGCCCAAAAGAATCCTGATAAAATTCCTGGTTGTCGGATTTGTAACCGGAATAGTTACCAGAATGATCACCACCTTGGAGCGGTTGCTGAGCAATGGGTTGAGAGCCCCAGTTCTGATTATTGGTCTGGCGACGTTTGGAATCTGGCTGGTTGTACCCATCAGCTTTGCGCTTTCCTCCTACATTTCCACCGCGGCCACCCCGAGCACCACGTACCCCTCCTCGCCCTCTCGGCTGCACGAGTCCTCTCACGCCCCGCCCGCCGCCACCGCCGCGGCCCGGTCCTCCTGGCCCGCCTCGCTGGGAGAAGTTGGCCCTGCCTCTGGGTGCCCCTGCGCCGCGTCCCCTGGCCGGAGAGCCTCCGCCCCTTGGACCCCTGTTGCCGCCCCGCCCTCGCGCCGGGGCCTGGAAGTCGTCGTACCCGTAGTAGGGGTCGTCGTAGCCGCCGCGGTAGTTGTGATAGTCATAGCCGTAGTAGTCATAGTAATCCTCGTAACCGTAGTAGTCAGGGGGGTAGGAGTAGCCGCCCCTGTTGCCGCCTCTGCCCCGCCCTCTGACAGGAGGAGGCATGTGGGAAGGAGGGGGGTAGTAGTAATAATCATCATACCTGAAGAGTCGAGAGGAAAGATATAAAAATTAAATCAGAGTGAAGAATATACGATGAAGAGCACAATCTCAATCAGGAAAAACAATCGTTTCACTCAGCAGTCGAGGCGGCACGACTCAATATCCTGTCACTCTGATGAACACTAAGCAGGAACAGTGTCAGAGCTGTAACCACGGTGAAATACAGGTAACCTTGAAACCAAACACACACTGTAAAGGTCGCACGCTTGCCGTCCACATGGCATCTGTTAAATATTAACTTCTTTGCTCTGTGAATTTCAGTTTCCCAGCTGTTAACATTATAACATGTGGTGCTTTTATTTTGAAAGTGGACATGCTGAAGTGGGGTGCTTTTATTTTGAAGGTGGACATGCTGAAGTGGGGTGCTTTTATTTTGAAGGTGGACATACTGAAGTGGGGTGCTTTTATTTTGAAGGTGGACATACTGAAGTGGGGTGCTTTTATTTTGAAGGTGGACATGCTGAAGTGGGGTGCTTTTATTTTGAAGGTGGACATACTGAAGTGTGGTGCTTTGCATTGACGAGCTGTTGACTCAGATCAAAACACTCAGAGGCTCGTTTTAAAGTTTTTCTCTGGTGTTGTGTTACCGGCCTGAGCCTGTCCCTTTAAGCAGGTGGCTTATGGGTAATGTAGTTCAATGAGAAGTTGGGATTGAGTCTCCCGCTACAGTTCAGGTGTGTCTTGAAAAGTGTAGCTCTTTAAAGTGTTTTTTTTTGTTATTTTGCACTTTGTCGTCCACACCTCGACTTTTCCGACCTGCTGAGGCGTTTACTCACATGTGTGACTTGGCTGCGTGGCGTTGTGCTTTGCGCTCCTTCCTCTTCTGATCCGGCGGCTTGGCAAAAACAATCTCAATGGGCTCGCCATCCAGCTCCTTCCCGTTCATTTCGTCCAACGCCTGAGAGAAGCAGAGCGGAGGTCGAGTGTGTAAAACATTTCTCAAGAGGTTCATTTGTTTATCGTTTGGCGCCTAAAGAAGGAGACGTACCTTCACTGCGCCGTCCCTCTCCTCGAAGTGAATGAAGGCGTAATCTTTGAGCTTCTTTACTCGCTCCAGCTTCCCGAACTCGCTGAAAGACGTCTCGAGGAGCTCCTCTGTGACGCCGCCGGCGAGGTTCCTGACAAATAAAACTTTCACCTGTAAAAACAAGAGAGACGGTTTGAGCTCGGTCAGCGTTTTTTAACCTTCTGATGATTCTGTTTTTTTTTTTTTTAAAGCCCACCTTCGCCATGACCTCGGGGTCAGGGTCTTCAATGGGATCCGCCCACTCCACGGTCACCACGTTGCCCCAAACCTTCACTTTACCGCTCATTAGCCGGCGGCGAGCCTGAGCAGCCGTTTTGTGGTCTTCGTACTCGAGGAAACAGAAGCCTCGGTTTTTCTTTTTGTCGTCGGGTTGATGGTACAGGATGACGTCACTGAGGCCCTCTGGAGGAAGACGGACACTTTAGAACGCCATCGCATCACGATTACACAAACAAGCGCCCTCGAACAACTTCAAAAAAATAAATCTTTACCTGTGACTTTAGCAAACTCTTCAACGATCTGCTCCTTTGTTTTACTCTTGGGAATGGAGCCAACGAATAGCCTGTTGTTGGCGACGGATATACACACGCCGATGTGCTTTCCAGGGCGGATCTCATGATTATTACACTGAAAAAAAGACAAAAAAAACACGTGTGAAGACGACACACCGGGCAAGAGATAAACTGCCTTCAAGAGGAAACTACAGAGAAAACATTTCCACATCAAACACTCGCAGGTTTATTTTCAATCTGAGCCCCCCCGTGTCCGCCAGCGTCTTTTTTCAATTGTTCTCAACGAGTGGAGAGTGTTCACAGCAGCAGACAGGTGGTCAGAGAAAAAGCGCAGAACCTAGCGTCTGTTCTCTGAGCTTTCAGTCTTTTTTTGTTCCCGAGCGCTCAAGTTGAAAATCTTTAAACGTTTCAGAAAGGCGCTGTTGACGTCACCGGCGCTCTTTAGCCGCTTACAGATCGTGTCTCGTACCCACATCCATCCATCGGGAAATAAACGATGTCAAATATAAAACAGAGCGGTGTCAGTCATACCGTGTCAACAGACTGTTGTCATAGCGACAGGATGGACATGCAGCACTTTTCTTCTCAGCGCTTCATGCAAGAGCTCCTGAGCGCACAGCCAGCGCGGAAACAAAATGGCGGAGGACACGGGGCCTGAGACTTCTTGTTTGTTGTCAGCAAAGAAATAGACCCTTAAATCAAATTAAACACTTTAGTTTTCCACAAGAGAAAAAAAAGGTTTTACTGATCGGCTCACCAGTTTCACGGCCTCCTGAGCCGCTTCTTTAGTGCAGAACGTGACGAAGGCGTAGCCCCGGTTCAGGCCGCTCAGCGGGTCCATCATCAACCGGAGGTCCCAGATAGGTCCAGCCTTCTCAAAGAGAGGAACCAGCTCGTCTTCAAACAGGTCGCGGGGAATCTTCCCCACAAATATCTAGAAGAAGAAAACAGAATTTTTAGATTTACAAATACTGTTTTAAGACAAGACATCTTTTAAAAACCAGGAAAACACAGAACTTCACATTCTGATCAACTTAAAATACTAAATATAATCAACTCAATACTTACAGCAGGAAGAGGAGGAGGAGGGGGAGGGGAGGAGGAGGAGGTGGAGGAGGAGGAAGAAGAGGAGGAGGAGAAAGGGGAGGAGGGGGAAGAAGAGGAAGAGGAGGAGGAAGAAGAGGAGGGGGAGGGGAGGAGGAGGAAGAAGAGGAGGAGGAGGAGGAGGAGGAAGAAGAGGAAGAGGAGTTGCTAATAACCAGTAGAAGCAGAAGAAGTGTACCTCAGTTCCGACAGTGGGCTGGACTCCTGTGTACACAGACTCAGGTGGAGGTCCTCCGTACTTCCTCTGTCCTGTTGTAACATCGAGTGTGTAATCTGTTCTGTCCAGGAGCTCTTTGATCTTCACCTCGTCTGGTCCTTTAGTGGGATCTGAAACTTTAGTGCCCTGTTTCTCTCTCTGCCTGTAGGTCTTCATCACCCCGCACAGAAAGGCACTTTTGTTCTGCAGAATCAGATCAAAACAGTTAAATCATCGCTGAGTGGAAACCAATCTAACAACAACCTTTTTTGACGTCCTCCTCGTCGTTTCACAGATGATTAAAACTCACTTGCACGTGTGACAGGTCGCTCTCTTTGAACTGGAGCAGCACCTGCAGAGCTCCATCCTCGCTGAATTCTTTCAGAGCATCGATAGCTCTCTCGTCGAGGTCACTGTGTGCTACAAGGCCTGATGAAAACACAACAAAAAGAAAGAGTCAGACTTGATCAATCGAGCTGGTTGGCGCTGAGGATGCCTCATAAAGGAGTGGCTTAATGAATAAGAATAATTGATGTGTAGCAGAGGGAACCAGAGAGAAAAGTCAGCTGAACACACAAAGGCTTCATTATGTCCAGGTTTCTGCATATTTTACAGCAGCCAGGTGTTGATACAATAAATCTCCTCAAGACAGGCAGCAGCTTAAACTCTCAATATCATCATCTCTGTTTGTCCCAGAGAACAATTCACCTGCTGCAGGAACACAGCTGCTCTATTGTTCCTGTGTGTGGCTTCAGTCTACAGCAGGCCCACGCCCCTTCAAACTTCATTCTTTACACAACGTTGACATCCAAGAATACTGACCATACAGAGCAACTACCAGATATACACTTTGAGTCAGATATATGTGCCTAACAGCCTAAATGTAACAGCTAGAAAACCAACCAAACGCTAATGTTAGTTCAGTTTCATGCTTCAAGTAAATGTCTTCAAAGCTTGTTTTTGGTCCTGGGCTTATCAACACTCAGCCCGACAAGCTTCAAGGCTTAAGAAGACAAAGTTATCACAACATGCAGCAGCACAATTTTCTGTCATCCTAAAAAAAACAACATCTACATTCCTGAAAATATCTAGATAATTTCATGAGGACTGCTCCGGGTATCCTCCTGATCCGGTTGTTCACACATGCACCTCACAGCGGGAGACTATCCCTGTCTAAAGAGAGGAGAAGAACATCCTGGAGAACAGGAAACATGCAGCAGGTTGATTAGAGCACGGAGATGGTAGAGGTGGCGTGCAGACAGTCTATGGTCGATCACAGGGAATAAAGGTCACCACCCCCTCCCACTGGCCCCTCCCACTGGCTCCAGGTGAATTCTCCTGATTATATCCTGCTGAGTTCTCACATCAGCTCACTCTGACTTTCTGCAGAATAAATACGAGGAGGCTGGAGGAGAAACTCAAACACTCAGCTGTTTGTGTTCACACATGATACTCGGAAGAAGGATTTTTTTTTGTATTATAAGCAGACGGCAAACAGCGCTCTGAAACAGGGTCCAAACCTTCTTTAAGAGAGGAACATTGTTTCTATATATGTGAGAGCGGCTTACATGGTAAAGCAAAGGGGGGGACCCCTTCTGAGGGCGATTGTGGACTACAGAGGAAAGATTTTTAATAAATCAACTTTCAGCAGAGAGGAAAAAAGGGCAACAGAGGACTAACACAATGAAGCAGTGGTTAAAAGTGACATGCACACCACTGGATTAGTCCAAACGTAGATATGTGAACACTCTCCACTGTAACTTTGCTAAATGTTGCTTCGCCCTCAGGATGGATTAACGGTGGCTCTCTGTAGATAACATAACAAAGAGTAAGGTCTTTGACCTGCTCTGTTTGTAAAGTGTCTTCTGATTACATTTGTTGTGAATTGCTGCTGAACAAATAAAGATTGATTGACCTGCTGATGAAACTACAAAAGCCACAGACGATGACTAAATGAGTATTTCCCAAAAGAACAATCATTAGTAAAGAGCTGCTCTGGTGATATCTTTGATTACTTCCAGTGAGACCCTGGACCAAAGACCAAAACAAACAGTGAGTGACTTCTCTGTTAACCCATTCTGACGATAAGCAGAGACGTAAATCTCAATATAACAGTTTCACAGCTGGTTTAAAAGGCTCCTAAAGTTCATTCTGAATGATTTATTACACATAAAGGGGTTTACACACTTGCAGAAAACCCCTGATAAAGTGTTTCTAAAGTGACTTCACTCAGAGTTTCTCCTTCAGCCTCCTCGTATTTATTCTGCAGAAAGTCAGAGTGAGCTGATGTGAGAACACAGCAGGATATAATCAGGAGAATTCACCTGGAGCAAGTGGGAGGAGCCAGTGGGAGGGGGTGGTGACCTTTATTCACCTGTGATCGCTGCACGACCATAGACTGTCTACACACCACCTCTACCATCTCCATGCTTTAATCAACCTGCTGCATTATGCCCCCCCTCCTGTCTGACAGGGATAGTCTCCCTCTGGAGATTTCAGGGGCAGTCCTCCTGAAAATCTCTAGACATTTTTATCATGAGATGCCTTCTGAGTGCGCATGTGGAATAAATAAAATACTTTGATTTCTTCGTTCTACTTTATTTGTTTTCTTCTCAGAATCAAGTCTGTAACGTGGTTCATGTTTTTAGAAAAGCTTTGTGCATTTAGCTCAGGTCATTAAATGGTTAAACAACAGTCCGCTTGTTTACAAAAACTTTGCATACGTTTTTTTTTTTCCATAGTTTACAAAAAAATGTGGAAAATAGTAAAAGCTGTAGATTTAAAAAAACAACAACATACATGTTACTGAACATTTTCTATTTTAGGAATATTGTTCATCCCTTGTTAACATGAAAAAGAAAAATAAGATAATGTGCCGATCTTAATCAAGGCCTCGGTAGGGCTGGGAAATATATCGATATATTTTTAAACAAGATATAGGGTAAGACAATATGGTTAATATGGATATAGTTTATGTTGCATTAAAATAACGTTACAGAGATGCCAGGTGACCTTCTTCTCATCTCACTGATGATGACTGACTGTCTGCTCCTCCTCTCTCTCTCTTTTATTGTATTTAAGGAACATTTTTATTTTATAATATTACTTTTTAAATTCACAAACAGGTAGTTTATTTTCCATGTGTCTTCACTGTTAATAAAAGACATCGATATATATCGAGCATCACCATTCAGCTAATCAATATCAACATATGAGTTTTGGTTCATATCACCCAGCCCAAGGCCTCGGGCCAAAATCTTCTGATTCTTTATTTGAAGTCACGGCCGCAAATGGCCCTCGAACCCCTGCATTAAGTGCTCTGTTATTGTTGTTGTTGTTGTTGTTGTTGTTGCCTGAGGAGGTCGGAGGGGACAGGGAGCTTCCTCAAGTGGTCAGATCAGTCTTTGTTTTGATGCATGTGTAGAAGAGTTACAGTCAGTGTGGCAACTCTTTTGTTTTGGTGTTGTGTGCAGGTGAAAGAGAGAGAGAGCTTCCCTTACCTGCTACGTAAAGTTCATCTAGTTTCTCAGCAACTTTCTCATTTAATCCAGCTTCCAGTAGAGCCGGGAAGTGTTCAGACCGGGTCACAGCTGCAGTCGTGTCCATCGGTTCCTCCGTCCCGTTCCCGTTGACGTGATCTGTGGCCATTTCACTCTCAGCTTCATTTTCTGCAGACATCTGTGCACATGGGATCACAGCAGAATTAACAACACCACCACTGTAGTGCAGTCAAGCTGATAAGATAAGCTGTGCAGTTTGGCGCCACCGTCCCATGCCTGCACCCTGTTGACAAACTGAAACACAAACAGTGGCTGGTTGTTTGTTACCACAGAAACCAAACAGCAGGACCACGCTTTAATAAACCATCGATCCAAAACACTCACAGCTTCCCCTGCTGCTCCAGAAGTCACCACAATATAACAACATGTTCATTTTGAGCTGAACGGTCTGCAAACACCCACCACGCCTCTGTTAGCATCGTTAGCATTAGCATCATCAGAACACAGGCCGCGCCAGGAGAAACATCCCGAAAGAGGATCAGGTGTGAATAAATACCAACAGGTAACGTGATTTAAAGCGTCCCTATATCCTCTATAATGTACGCTTTTCGTCATTCATGTCTTCACTGTTTAGAAAAGCATTAAATTAAAGAGATCCCCGTTTTCAAAATGCCGGTTAGCTCCGACAAATAGCTGCTAATGCTAATAGCTTCCAGCATCGGTACACTCACAATAAAACACATCGTTCATTTAAAATGTGCAGGTGAACTCGGTGTGTACGTACCATGCGAGTCTGAATGCGGGTGCACGATGCCGATCCGCCCGGTGAAAAGGTGTTTAAAAATAAAATAACGGGGGAAATATTCACGCCGGTGTTTTTCAGGTTCTTTTCCTCCCGGTGAAACAAAATGGCGTCTACGTAACGTCGCGATCTCTGCTGTCCCCCCCGCCCCGCCCCCCTTCTCCCTCCCCCTCCCGGCACTGCCTGCATGCACGGGGTTTCTTGAACGGCGTCTCACGGGCTGCTTCGTTTATTTTTCTCCAAACATCCGGTCAGAAGAAAATGATACAGACCTCACTCTTTACGGTTTATTGTTACTGCAATTTATTAACTTAGTGACATTAAAACCACAACTATCGCGGATCGCCCCCTCCCCCCCCTCCCCCCCCGCTTAAAAAGGTTAACTGAAGACCTACCTTCATAATCCAGCTTTTACTTTGGAGGGGTTTTACATCCTTGATCAATATTTATATAATTGTTTTGACTTCATCACTGTTTTTTTAATAAAGTAAATTTAATCTTATTTCGTGAAGTCAACTATTTAAAACATTTAAATGTTGTTATTTTTACCTGTTTTCATCTTTTTTTTTTTACATTTTTGCTCTAAACTTTACAGCTACCACACGTTTTCTGGTGATGTTAAAAATAGATTTTGAGCAATCAGTCTTGTCAGCACTGATCCTGCAAAGGGGTTTAGTGTACTTTGTCAAATAATAATGATAAAAAAACTAAATAATAATAATGCATGAATAACCAGAGAAAATCTAGATGTATATACTTAAATAGATTTAGCAAGTGTACTTCTAATATACCCCTATATCAATTAGGCAATTCTATATAGTTATAATATAAGTATATTACAACTATACTAATAATAATACTATTAACAACAGCATCAATAATTGTAGTAACAATAATTGGACGTATGCAAAGTAACGATTGAGAAAGAGATAAGAGAAAGAAACACACAAATCCAGTCACTTGAAATATATCTAATTGTAACAATTGCTATTATTGTTTTAAGTAATAATAAAAAAACACAAAGAATTTAGAGAAAAAGAAAAAAACTGAAACAAATCACATCCTTGATCAATATTTATATAATCGTTTTGACATGTTTTTACTTTATCACTGTTTTTTTTAAATAAAGTAAATTTTATCTTATTTCATGACTCTTCAAAGTCAACTATTTAAAAATTAAATGTTGTTATTTTTACCTGTTTTCATCTAAACCTTACAGCTACCACACGTTTTCTGGTGATGTTAAAAAGTAGATTTTGAGCAATCAGTCTTGTCAGCACTGATCCTGCAAAGGGGTTTAGTGCACTTTGGCCACTTTAAATACAGTTACTGCATGTTTCAAGTGCTACTCATAAGCGCAGTCGAACGTCACTTCTCCATTACAGCTATGAACACTGTTAGAAACTATTACAAATAAATATTATTTAGAAATAAAGATCCCTCTCAGGTAACACGGTTAATAATGACTCATCAGGTGTTTAAAGTCAGTTTCCTCTGATGACTCGTTTGAGCAGTTTGACAGAGAGAGATTGAACAGACACTCACGTACATGGTTAATTTTATACCGTTAAGATGCCGATCTCTGTTCAGAAATGTCATATTTTAAATGTTTACATCACTGCTCATCAGATTTAGTCTCACACTTTCCGTTTTAAAGTACGGTTTTCATTTTTTAAGACTTTAAATCGGTAATGACCCCAACTTGTCCATTAACCTCCATGCATTCAGATGGAATGATGTCACCCAGAAAGGGGCGGGGTCGGCATCGTTTGGGCAAAGTACCCGGATGGGTTGCTCTCGTGAATTGACAGTGGAACGCTCGCGCTGCCATTGGCTGAGCGCGAAAATTCGAAAAGCGAAAGAAAACAGAAGCTAACGATGCCGGAGGAAGCTGAGGTTTAAAAAGACAAAAACAACACCTGAAAGCAAGTTTGGTGTTGGAAAAAAACATCGGCTTTAAAGGAGAGTTTGAAAAACGTCAGGCGAAATGGACGTAGCCACTTATTTACAGTAAGTAAGCAGGAATACGTTGAACGTTACCCCGGAGGTAGCTACATGCTAGCGGTTAGCGACTGTGTTGTTTGCATTATTTCAAACGAAGTTCTTGTAGTTTTAATAACACACCTGTTCTGTTTTGTAGTTTTAATAACACACCTGTTCTGTTTTGTAGTTTTAATAACACACCTGTTCTGTTTTGAACCGTCAGGTGTTTTGAAAACAGCTTGAGCTCCTACGCAGGAGATGACCCTCTGGATCTTTGGGATAAGTGAGTATTGTGATCAAACAAATAGGGAACCGCTCCCGTTTGAAATAACTTTATTTAAACAAAACAAACACGTACATGAACATCACACATCTGAATGAGAAAATACAATATCAAGAAACATATGAATGATCAGGGTGTCAGAAAATATCACCTAAAACATGACAAAATACTGCAAACATGAACTGCTTTTTTGTTTTGTGCAGAGAAGTTGTACAGATATTATTACATTTACTTCATCAAAACAGAAAATGTTTTTGTATTCACTTTAAACATAAAGGAACTGTACCACAGTCACTTACTATTTTAAACATAATCAAATAATGACACTGACCACATCAACCCACCACAGATCTTTTTTTCTACAATTCACTGAGCAGACTCTTTTCTCCAAAGCGATGTACATCAGAGAGTAAGAACAACACAAGCAAGGATCTAGAAAAAAGGGAACAATGTGAGTAAGAGCAAACGATCAGCTTTGAGTCTGATTGGACACACAGGTGCTGACAGGAAGTGACCAGAGGCAAAGCACAACATTGAGGGCAGTTCTTGAGAGCTCTAATCAGTATAGAAACCATCTTATAAGTCGTCGTTATCAAACAAAAACCATCGTCATTACCATCATCATCATCAATGAATCAATTTTCTGTCTGTCTTTCTATCTCTCTGACCTCATGCTGTCTCTGTGATACTCACATCTGAACCCCGTAGAAGCCAGCTCCTGACCATCAGAGTTTTATTGTTCTCCAAACCTAATATCACAACATTTATTGTGTGTGATTCCCTCAAGTAGGCATCTCATGATAAATTACAGTAACATTGACAAAGCAGCAAATGTGACGATAATAATAATAAATGTATTTATAAAGCGCTTTAAGTCAAAGTGCTGTACAAAGCAATACAGTTAAAAACAGGAAAACATACAGACATACTGTCTTCTTTCTGACCTTTGGACACTCAGAAGACCCGTCCCTGAGAACGCAGGGCTCGGGCAGGCACATAGGGGTTCACCAGGTCGGTAAGATACAATGGTGCGCTACCATTTAATATTAAAAAGTTAGCAGCAGCACCTTAAAATCTACTCTGGCATGAATAGGGAGCCAATGAAGAGAGGCCAACACCAGGGTGTTCATATCTGCAGGCTCCGGTCAGAACACGAGCTGTAGCATTCTGAACCATCCGCAGAATATAGTGTTAATGCCCCCACCCCAATACGAGTCATCATGAAAGAAAAATAAGTGCCCCCCCCTTTGCCTTTATTGTAGGTATAGGATAGTGTATAGAGTCGGAAATCAGGGAAATAAGTCATTTAAGGATACCTTTCCGATAGAAAAGGACATCTGTCATTAAAAGTAACGCATGAACACCAAGATTCCTTCAAGTGTTTGTGTCGGCATGTCGGCTTGTCCCCACCCCCCCCCCCAACGCTGTAAATGTGTGGGGGGGGGGGGATCTAAGACTTGTAGTAAAGATTTATAACAAACTTATATTCTGTATTTGTGTGTTTTTCTAGGTTCGTGGAGTATCTGGAGCAGAAGTTACCTGCGGATGGTCGTGATGGGATGACCCTGGTATTTGACAGTCTTGTGCGGAGCTTTATTAATGTCGAACGCTACAAAGATGACCTCCGATATGTGAACTACTGCATCAAATGTGTAAGTCTGTCAAAAAATGTCACATTACAATACAGTGGAGTTTGCTTTGTGTTCATTCCTCTTACTCAGGCGTTTCTTATTAAACTCCGTCTCACAGGCGAGTTATTATTCGGACCCCGTCGCTCTGTACAGTCACATCTACAGTAAAGGCATCGGCACCCGGACGGCTGCCCTCTACGTGGCCTGGGCTCAGCAGTTTGAACAGAGTGGCATGAATGAGCAGGCTGATGCTGTTTACCAGAGAGCGCTGGAGAACCAAGCCCAGCCAGTGGACACAGTGCTCACTGAATACAGGTAACGACGGCTGCTGCTGCTTAAACACCTTTAACTCCCATGGGGCTGTTTCCCCCCCCGCCTGCTCTAGAAGAGAGAGACATGAAAGGTTAAACGTGCACAGTCACAAGTCAGTAAATACTGGTACGGATTGCCTAGTGTGAGTGCGCCCTAAATTACACAGATACATAGGCAATCATTTGTACCAAAACGTTGTTAAAAGTGCAATTTTCAGGAATTACAAAACGAGAAATTTTGTAGCTGTGGTATTGAGACAGAACGATCATGTTTGTATCCTGACAACCTGAGTGGGTTTGACGTAGTGTGTACTTAAACTCTACATTTCTGTAACGTGCACAACAATGACACCCGATGTGATTCACAGGCAGTTCCAAACCCGAACGAAAAGCCAGACACCCGTTTCAGGTAAGAGCAGATTTTTTGTGTTGCTGCTTCTTTAAAAAAAGATTTAAAGTGTTGAAACAAGCACCTAACGTTAACTCCTGTGTCCTGAAGCAGGAGGTCCACAACCCTTTGCAGAACTCCCAGTTGACCAATCAGATGTCATCTCACAGAGAAGCTTCTGCTCCAAACAAGGTGTGTGTGTGTGTGTGTGTGTGTGTGTTGTGTGTGTGGTGTGTGGTGTGTGTGGTGTGTGTGTGTGTGTGTGTGTGTGTGGTGTGTGTGTGTGTGTGTGTGTGTGTGTGTGTGTGTGTGTGTGTGGTGTGTGTGTGTGTGTGTGTGTGTGTGTGTGTGTGTGTGTGTGTGTGTGTGTGTGTGTGTGTGTGTGTGTGTGTGTGTGTGTGTGTGTGTGTGTGTGTGTGAAATCCCACAAGCCCCCCTTTACACACTCCTCGTTCTCCTCTTCTTCACTCGCTCACCGGTCCTCCACCTCTCTCCCTCTCTCCTCCCTCCCTCGACCCTT